TATCTATCTATCTATCTATCTATCTATCTATCTATCATCTCTCTCTCTCCCTTCCTCCCTCTCGTCTGCCTGCCTGCCTGTCTTATCTCTCTCTCTCTCTCTCTTTATCTATCATCTCTTTCTCTTTACCTGTCATCTGTCTGCCTATCTATCTATCTATCATCTATCTATCTATCTCTATTTCTCTGTCCACCCACTCACCTACCTACTTAGCTTAGTGTACATTCAAAGTGACAACAAAGTCTAAATCTAAGTCACTTCTAAGTCTAAGTCTAAAGTGGGTGGATTTCAATTCCCCAGAATTCTCCAAATGTGAACATGCTGGCTAGGGAATTCTGGGATTTAAAGTCCATAAATCTTAAAGTTCACAAGATAGAGAAACACTGGATTAGAGTGTTTTGGGGGAATAGTGATGGACAAGTGAGGAAGGATAAAGAAAAACAAAGAATGGAGAAGTAGGAAGAGCTTACTACAATGTTCCAACAGGAGAGGGGCGGAGAGAAATTTTCAGGCAGAGGCTCTTTCAAGGCTAAAGGAAACTTTCAGGAATAATCCACAAAGGAATCTGGGGCAAGAACAGACTTGTTATTTTTCTCTGCAACAAAAATATTGGAAAAGAGATTGCTTGTAAATGCATACACATATATACATGCACTATCTATTCCTATAAGTAGTTGTGGAGCTCCCCCTGATAGACATGCTACGCAATTGCAGGGGCTACAATACCATATAGTCCTTATTTCCCCAATCTTAGCTACTTAAATTTAGATACGTGAACTTCAACTCCCAGAATTCCCCAGCTGGCTGAGATTGCGAAATTAAATAATGATTTCGAAATGGATCTTTGAATGTTACCAGTTCCCACGATCTCTATCAGAATTCACCAGAGTTGGGTGGTTTATTAATTCAAAACAAACGAACAATTGCCAAGTGTGGCCCAGCAAGACTTCTTGCATGCTGAAACAAAGCCTCCACTTCTAGGAGCAGTCCAAATTTTTGCTCCATTTGTTGAGGATGTAGCATAAAGTTTTAATTTTTGGAAACCGATGACCACTGGGCTAATGGATGCACTGCTTCAATCCAGCAAAGCCACTTCGATGCCTGCATATTTTAAAACCTACACCAAGATTTCATTTTTTTTTTTAAAGGAGTTGAAAATGCTGCTGCTGTAGTTTGGAATTTAGATGATACGATGCCTGCAATATTGCCCAAAGCCACAGATAACATTGCAAAAAATAGGAACAATAGAAAACAATAGTAACGATCATAATAGATTTAGTATCCCGATGTGAGAACTATGTTGCTCAGTGGAGTCAATGAAAGGAAGGAGGCGAGAAAAAGCATCAAAATATGGAACGCTTCACGAATTTGCGTGTCATCCTTGCGCAGGGGCCATGCTAATCTTCTCTGTATCGTTCCAATTTTAGTATATGTGCTGCCGAAGCGAGCACAAACTAAGTCTTCACTTAAAAGCTATATAAAGCTCATGGTATAAGAATATTATAAGGTATGGTGACAATGTATGTATTTTTTTTCTTTTTTTAAAGATCTACTTTGTATTAACCCAAAACAAGCTGTCTCTCTTTTATATCTCGAAGTTTAGAATATATATTTTAAAAAATCAGAACAAAACTACATTTTCCGCAGAGGATGACCGGCAAAGTTGGGTTATGGAAATCAAGGGGCGTGGCTACGGAATGGGGTTGAGGGGGCATATGGAGACAAAGAGGTAAGTAAAATGTCGAGCGTTTCAAGGAGCCAATCAGGTGAGGTTTCGAATCGCCGTAAGGTCGAATCCTCCATGTGAGGTCCAAAGGGGGATAGAACGAGGCGTGAAAATAAAAAAGAGGCAATAATTAACCAACGTTGTTGTATTGACGGCTTCTGTTCTATAGGCCAGTGAAGAGTGAATAGCTCGGAGTAGTATTTGCGTAAATGAAGATTTCCACGATGCAATAATATTTGCAGCAAAGAGTAACAGTTCTGAGTTTTCCCGGGTCAAAAAGCCTCCTATTATGATACTTATGGAGAAGGTGGAAACTCGTTAAAGTTACATCAGAGTGGATAAATTAAAGAAGAGAAAATAAAAACGAAGCCTTTAAACTTTTCTCCCTTACTTGCCGATTCAGATATTTTGGGACGAGGGCGCGGGTGGCTTTGGGTTTTTTTTTTTTTCAAGTATTTGTCAAAAAAATAAATAAATACCGGAAGTGTTTCTAAAACCTTCCTCTTAACCGTACCCCTTTGGAGCTCGCTTTTCCCACCCCGCCCTACGCATCGCGCGCTCCCCTTCCGGGACTCCTCTAGTTCCCCCTTCCTTTCCCAGGATGCTTTTCGCCCTCGCTCGGTGTTCCTCCACCCTGCCTGCTCTCGGCTGACGTCATCGGGACGGGAGGGGCGGGAGGGAAAGGGGAAGCGAGCTTGGCATTAACATGGCGGTGGACCGGGCGGACGTGAAGGTGGACTGAGAGGCGGAGGCCCAGAGGACGGGCCGGTTCCTGGGAACGCGGCCGAGCTTCCCTTTCTCTCCCCAGCGTCCCGTTTTTGCTTTGCGGGGCGCCGCTGCTTCGCCCGGCTTCCTCCATACCGGGCTGAGTGAGGGCTCTTCCTCCTCTTCTTCCTCGCTCCTTCGAAGCTGTTTTTCCCTTCCTGGGGGCTGGAGGTGGAGGGGCTTCTCTCTCTCAATATCGGGCTTTCCCCCGTTTTCCTCCCTTCCCTTCAAGTTTGGAGGGCGGGCCTTCTCCCCCCCCCCATTTATCCTCTCGGATTCTTCTGACGACCCCTTCCCCCCAAATTAAGCGCCTCCGTTTGGAGGCTTGCCTCCCCCCACCTCCTTCCCCCTCCCGAGAAGATTGCAAAGGGCTCTTCTTTGATCTCCCCCCCCCAAAAAATATTTTGGGTCTTCTTTCTTCTTCTATTTCCCCTTCTGCCCCAGATTCCTCTGCTAGAAATTGGTGAGGTTCACCAAATCCCTCTTGTTTAAATAAGGGGTCATTGACGCTTCACACACACCCTATGTCACCCCTTCAGAAAAATATCTCCCCTTCCCCTTAAATTATCCTGGCAAAGTTTCTCTTTCTGCCCAACGTAATTCCTCCCTTTCCTCTTCCTTGTGATAGCCTATTCCCCTCTCTTGCTGAATCCCTCTTCCGTCTCTTGAATAGTCTGTCCACAATATCCCCACCTTTTTTTTCTTTGAAATTTTGGGGGTTCTGGCATCCCTGACATATTAAACCTTTAACTCCATTTTGATAGATACACCTGTCTTTTTTCCCTGGGAGAGGCAGATCTGCACACAGTTTTTTCTTTTCTTTTCTCCTGGCAGCTTCGTCGTCTCATCCTATTTGTCTTCTCTAATCCTGAAGCATTTTTAGGTTCTATCTGAGGTTTGCCTTCCTACCACCCGGGATCCTTATAGGGGATTTGGTTAGTTTGCCCTTCTGTTCAGCTCTTGCTGAGCGACTAACCCTTCCTTAATTGTTTCCAAATTGGTGCATCTTTCATGCCAATCCCTTTAAGGACTATTTGTTTTCTAACTCAGACCATGGGCTACTTTGTTGTAGGGTAACTCTTTCCAGAGTTCTTTTTCCTTCCCTTGTGCCGGTTTGGGAGGTGAATTCATTGCTTAAGTTCTTTCTCCTATTGGCAGAGTTGGTTAATATCTTGAAATTAAATTTATATGTGGGATATTGGAGTCAAACTCTTCTAAGAGAAGACTGCAGGAGAAGCCTCTGAAAGCAGCCCTGTCAACCCTCTGGGCACCTTCACCAACTCAGGATGTCAGAGAATCAGCCCAACAACACCCATCATCCATTGAACAATAATGGGGTGGGTGGGCCCCCCGCTGGCAATAACCGAGGGGTCCGCAATCTCAACCAGAACCCTCTCATCAATGTTCGGGATCGCCTCTTCCATGCCCTTTTCTTCAAAATGGCTGTCACCTATGCCCGCCTCTTCCCACCGTCTTTCCGTCGCATCTTTGAATTCCTCATGCTCCTTAAGGTAATGGTGGAGGGGAGAGAACATTTCCCTTCAATGTGTATATTCTCACATGGGTTTGGAATAGAGTTAGTAATGTTTGAATGCTCACTAAAGCTTATGGGGGAAAATGTTTTTAGCCTCTACATATTTGGGGTGGTAGTGGGATGTTTTTTCCCCCTGGAGAACATTTTATTGGCTTGTGATAGATTATTCTCTCCGTGCCTCCTCCTTCACATGCCTCCTGCATTTCTATTCGGATTTACAAAACTTCCCAGTGCTTAACTTTGATTTCTTGTGCTAGGTGTTACCCAGACTTTTTTTTAAGAGCCATGGGGATTAATTCATTTTATTCAAGCTTTAAAAATTGCGTTTTATTTATTTATAGCTCATATTTCTTAACTGCCCATCTCCCTTAGTTTTGCTGTGCATGCAGTGCATGTTCTGTACTGTATCATTTTATTTGTGTTTGTGTATATATATATATTACATAGGGTATCCTCTGTTTTAGCTTTCAAATGTTTTTGTATTACTTTTGTGATCCTCACAGTACTCAAAATTTAACAAATGGGAAAGAAAAAATTAAGGCTGAAGGGAAAATGATTTGTCTAGAGCACTACCTGACGTAACAAGTTTGTGAGGAATAAAGTGTAACTTCCTGTGATGTTTCTAGTATAATGCTTCCTAAATTCATGCTAGTTTTTTTCCTAGTTACACAACACTCTGGGCTCCTGTTCTGATCAGCTATTTCAAAATTCTCTTTACATCTAATGCAATCAAGTCACATACTCACCACTGTATATGTGTGCTTACATATGTGTATGTTGTACATATCAGTTATAAATGGAACTGTATATGCCTTTGTGGAGTACGTTCAGTCCATTTTATTTCTCTTGCTCTGAGGTGTTACCAGTTAGAAATCCACCAAATTCCATATCAACTTTGGTAAAGATTGGTTTCACCTTTTTATTTAAGTTGTTGATAAACCTACAGGAAAGCACTAGGCTTAATGAACTTCTCTAAAGTTCTACTAGTTCGTCACTTCTCTGCCTTAATTTTACTATAACTAAATTAGGAAAGATATCCCTGTCAGTCATGTCTGACATTAGGGCACAGTGCTCATCTCCGTTTCTTGGCCAAGGGAGCCAGTGTTGTCTGAAGACAATTTACATGGTTGTCAAGCCCAGCATAGAACAGAACAGTGGTCATATGGCCAGCATGGTTACATGCCAAAGGTACACGGAACACTGTTACCTTCCCACTTAGGTGGTACCTATTTATTTACTTGCGTTTCCAAGCTTTCGAACTCCTAGGTGGGCAGGAGCTGGGGCAAGGAACAGGAGCTCACCCTGTTGCACAGAACTTGGGTCTCAAACCCGAGCTGCCAGCTCTTTGAAGCTCAGTGTCTTTAAAATGAGTAGGGCTGCGTATTTTCTTGCAGTGGCATTTACAGCTCTGTAATTTAAAGCCCTTGTTCTTGAGGATCATAAAACATTTTGGATATGTTTTGCCACTTTCTCCAAATGGAGAGCCTCATTGGCTTGCAGTTTGAGGGCAACAGGGTAAAAGTTCTACCACACGGGACCATTGTAAGGATTATAACAAGCTAACATGATATGTTTAGAACTCCCAGAAGAGCAAGGAGGAGATAATTTCTGTTGGTTAGTTTTAAAAAGCTCCATAAAGTTACTAGGCTATGAAAATGGTTTATTACTCTCCCAGAAGGCTACTAATCCGTGTTTCCATAGTAAAGCAGGAAGAAAAATGCATTTGAAATGTGGTATTAGCAAGCTGATTGTTGTTGCTTTGTTCTGGTGTCTTAAAAGTTGCCTTCTCATAATCTGGCTCTGCCTAGCCAGCTGGCAGCACTAGCTGACCTTGACGGATCTAGAAAGCAAAACGGCCAGCCCTGCTTGATAAATTTGGATGCAGAGCGGCAGGGCGGTCCAGGGCCGACAACTGGACCTGGGTGGTAAAACAGAATCCCAGAAGGTGTCAAGGGCTGATTTATGAGCTGTAGCCAAGGAAACTGCCTGATGTAAGTCACCACAAATCAAACTCAACTTGATCGAGACTTTACTTAATGATGCAGCATTGGGTATGATGAACAGAAACGTATCACGGCAGCTGCCTTAATTTCTGGGGTACTCGATTTACAACCTTTCATTTAGTGGCCGTTCATCAAGGCACCGACTTATGGCCTTTTTTCACATTTGCTGCATCTCTGCTACGCTCACGTGATCAAAATTCGGATGTTTGGCAACTGGCATGTATTTATGACGCTTGCCGTGTCCCGAGATCATGTGATTCCTCTTTTGTGACCCTCTGACAAGCAAAATCAATGGGGTAGCCGGATTCACTTAGTCACCGCGTTACTAACCTAACAATTGCATTGATTCACTTAAGTGTGGCAAGAAAGATTGTAAAATGGAGCAAAACTCAATTAGCTTGCTAAGCAAGGCATAGCAGGCTCATTTCTGGCCGTAATTCAAGGACTACCTGTAGTTACAAAGGGAGAAACCCTCTACATTTTGCTCAGAAATGAAGTGAACTGGCTGAGAAGAAGGAGAGAATGCTGACTTCCTTTTAGAAACTTATTCAGAATGGAAAACTTTGAAAGAACTTTAGTCCATGGGAAAAGGCAATTATGGATGGAAGATGCATGGTGCCAGAACCAAAACTGAGTCAAGTTTTAATTATTTTATACCCCCTATTTAGCTTATGTTATTTTATGATGTTTTTATTTATTATTTATTTATAATTTTAGTCCTGGGGTTGAGACACTAGGCTAGAAGCCAGGAGACTGTGGGTTCTAGTCCTAGCTTAGGCATGACAGCTGTTGGCTGAGCGACTTTGGCCCAGTCACTTGCTCTCAACCCAATTCACTTCACAGGGTGTTTCGATGGGGAAAACAGGAGGAGGAAGGAGCTCACCACCTTACTTATAAAAATAATAAAAGGCGGGGTATTAATAAAAGTATGACGCACTCTATGTAATCAGGTTCCTTGACAGAATTGAAGCTTGATGGAACATTCATATTTGTCTTGGAGAGGTTTGGGAGACAAGGAGGCTGCACTGTTGTAATTTGTTATTCTTTATCCGCCAGGCTCTCTTTGTCCTCTTCATTCTGGCATACATTCACATCACCTTCTCCCGTTCCCCCATCAACTGTCTGGAACACGTCCGGGATAAATGGCCACGGGACGGCATCCTACGAGTTGAGATCCAACGCAATTCCAGCCGTAATCCTGTTTTTCTCCAGTTCTGCGAGAGTGAGAGGTTTCCAGGCATGATGATCGAGCCTGCTGTTGGGGAGGAGGAGGAAGAGGAGGAGGAGGAAGAAGAAATGACGGTGGAGATGTTTCAGAACAGCTCCATCAAGGTACCATGAGGGAGAAGAATGTTGTTTTGTTAATGATTATGCTTTTTCCCCATTTCACCTTCCCAAACCGTGAATTGTTATCACCAAGTGATTACCCTTTGGCCTGATCTAATATGGCTAGTATTATGTGCGTGAGAGAAAATTCCTTACATTCTTTAAATAGTTAAATGTATTTTGCCTCCAAATGTCCCTTATGTGTTTTTGTCTCCAGTGAAGAAAAAAAATCCCCCAATTGTGAATTTCAGTGAGCGGGGAGATACTTCAGCACCTGGTTCATTTGAGTTGCTCATTTCCTTTTAATCTCTCTAATATTGCTTCATAAGATGGGCTTGCTGGGAATTCAAAGCTATAGTTATGTAGATATGAACATTCCTATGGTTAAATGTCTGTGGAAGATTCTCAGTCAGTCATACTTATGTCAAAGGTGATTTTGTTTTGTTTTCAAAAGGCAACTAGACTGTTTTTTTTTTTGAGGAAGATGATGTTTCGCTTCTAATCCAAGAAGTTTCATTCTTTTCAGATTCCTGTTTCTTAATTGACCCCAAGGAAAAGATTTTGCAAAATGCCCCGAGAATACTTTCTGGAATATCATATAAATAAGAGAAGTAGATAAGAGATGTCCTTGTTGGATCAGATTGTCCAATTGATTGTCCAGTTGGATCAGATTGCCCAGTTGATCCGGTTTCAAATTTTCAGTTTGTGGCTGATCCAGTTCCACAGAGAAAGGGCTTTCCTCTTACAGCTGTGGTTCCAAAAGATGGACTGCTCCCAGATTTGTATTTGTATTTGTGTGTGTGTGTGTGAGAGAGAGATGGAGACAGAGAGAGACACTGTCAGAATGTAGTTCGTTGAAAAGAGGATAGCCAGGATGGTGAGTTGTGAAATATCTAGCCTGATAAAAAGACACATTGAAAGGTGACATTTTGTCCTCAGATAATCTGTTAAGGAATGAGGGCAGATCTAGAACCAATGAAGAGCTGATTCAGAGAAGGGTTTGAGGGAAACCTCCCTGAATGATGAAACAGAAACTGCCTTAAGAGGTGAAGGACTGTTTTTTGCTATATGTATTTAAACAGAAGTTCAAAAGGCTACCAAGGGTTAAAAAATCCAGGCTCCTGCATTAAACAGGTATTAACTGATCCTCCTAGTTTTATACTTCTAAATACAGATTAAATTTAGCGATAGTAGATCATGGCCTTCAGTAGACCTCTTAGTTTTTAAAGATTGATTTGAAAATGCCTTTTTTCTGGGTCTGATTCTGGGAGTCACCATGGAGGGCTCTATTTATTTAATGATAGTATCTCCATCCTCTCCTCTGCAAAAATCACAAAGCATAAAATAAACACATCATAATATAATGGTACATAGATCTTTAAAAACAACTTTAAAAAAAACTTTTAAAGCAATTGAATATGTTAAATTAACAGTCTCTGTATAGCAAACAAAGAAACATTGCAGCTCTAAGACTAGAGCATTCTATTACTTAGAGAAATACAGGATAATTTGTTACTTATATGTTGTAGAATTTTACTGTATAGGGCTTCTCAATTCTAGAATGACTACATACAGTGTAGTAAAATCAGTCATACAGACTTTTCAAAAAACAACCCTCACCCTCCCCTGAAACACTGGAAAAAATACAACCATTAAACGACAAACACACATGTGGGAACTGCCACCCACCTAATTCAAGGACAAGTTTTCAAAGCATATGAATGCAACCAGGATGGAGACCAGCCATCTTGAGGGAGGGTGTTCCAGGGGGCAGGGGCTGCAACAGAGAAGGCCAATTTCCTAGACTCTCCCCCCCACCAAAAGCACCTGGCGTTGCTTAATTGCTTCAGACTTGGGTCACAAGGCAGACAAGAAATTCCTACACATGGGATAATTTGTGCATCTCTGAGCTCGGTTCTTGTAAACAACTTGCACTTAAAATTGTCATCTTCTGCATTGCTGCAAAGTGTCTAATTAGAGGTCCTCTCCTCATCAGTCTGCAGTCAGGGGAACTGTACCGCATCAGTTTGATGCTTAGGAAAGTGACGCCTTTTTGCAAACTATGAAGCAAGTCAGTGGCAGCCAGAGGACACAAATAGGAAATCAGGTAGTTGATCAGTTGGGAATGAGGTGCTGATTAGCTCTGAGTGAAATGCTGTGGAGACCTTTGAATCTTTGACATTGAGTTGAGGGCCCGGCAGTGATGCTACTTTCTGGACATGGGTCACAATGAAGGTGGCCCCTAAAATGGCCCAGCAATTTATCTGCCCTTTAAAAAATGACGTTTCCAGTATTTCAGCTCTGGAGTTAGAGACGGTCTCAGAAACTGCACATCCTGACATTGCCTAAGACTGAGCATTTAATGTCCTCTCTAATCAGGGCTTCTCAGCTGCTTGCATCATAAGCTCATAAACACCTTGAGGAGTTTTCTGTACTTGCTTCTCTTGGTTTTTCAATAAATAAACTCTGGTGTTTTTATTTTTTCAGTAATTTTTTTAAATTTTTTTGATTGTAATACTAAATTTCCCTAACTCCTTATTAAGGTCTGAATGTTTCAAATTTATCTGGACCCTTAATTCATTTCTTGGATCAAAGTCTTATTCAGTTTTTGCCATATACTCCAGTTCTTTAAATTCTTAAGCTTACGGTTGATTCTTCTTTAGTTCAAGAGTGGAAGCTTTTCAAAATCGTTGGCTCTGAAGATCTCTAATAGCCCTAAAGTGTTAAATAGCCAATGTCTGAAAGTGATTTGAAAATGAATGAACCTGATGTCCTTTAACAGGCTCCATCACAGTTGTGAGCTGTTGTGAGTTGCCTTTTTCTCTCTGAGCTCAAACCTATGGGAAACCGCCATCCTGCGCTCTACGAAGAGTAGCCATTCGAACCACAGGAGGATCACTTCCCATCCTCTCCTTATCTGGAGAAGTTTTGTAGAACCAGTCTACCTATAGCTCTTCGCCACAGTCATTGTCTCTGACCATTTGGAGACATGCTAGTTTATTTACCATGCACTCCCAGAAGTTGAACTTTGTGATGTCTCTAACTGTCACCATGTCCTGCAGCTAATTTGGGTTTGCAAGCACAAATCTACCTTCCCTGATGGGAGGATGGTTCGTAATACGATCTCTTCCTACCCATAAAATACAAAAAAGCTGCAGAACACACAAAGGACAATAGAAACTTAGCTTAAAAGAGGTGTATATGTTTCTGCTTTGTATGATTATTGATACTGGTAGGTACCTCTAATTGATTTGTTAATCCCTATTCAACCTGTAAACCAGAGGATTTGCTGAATTAAGCTAAATCTCGGAAGCTGGTTTAAACAGGGTGTTGAATTATGCAGGGGAAGAAATATATGCCAATTCTCTTTAATTTACATAATCGGAGTACACATGAACTTAAGTAAAACTTCAAGACACATATTACATAGATGATTACATCCGGTGAGATTTGAGGAGCGGGAAGACACACGTTTCTGATTTATATGAAAATTATATGGATAATTCATTTGCTTTTCATTTGTCTTGAACCTTCTCGTTGATTTATAGGGTGAGGAAAACGTCAGAGTTCCACTTTTCCCGTTTTTGGTTATGTGTAAATGCATTCCAATCCCCCCACTTCCCGCTCCATTATGCTAAGTTAATGCTTCAGACTCTCAACCGTATTCTGGTACTGAAAAGCATAACTCAGCCTCTTGGGTAATCAGAGTCATCTGTAGCATATAAATTTAATTTATTATGGTTGGTTACATAACCAGCTAGTTGTTTAGACTGGATTTGGCATTTTTATCTACCTATCGAGTCTTTCCCAGGGACGTGGGATAGACAGATGTTGTTTGCTGGTATTATTATTAAGCAGAATTCCCCAGCCAGGGTGAAATCTGGGAGTTGAAGTCCACAAGTCCACAACACTGATTTCTGTTGTTGATGCTTAACTAACCTTTTTGAAGTCCACAAGTCCACAACACTGATGCTTAACTAGCCTTTTTTTTCTCCCTGCTTTTCCACCTTTGTAGTTCACTTAAGCTGCTTATGTCTGTGTCTGCAACTTGTAGTTTGTGACATAAAGTTATCTGTCTGCTTTTCATTGTGGTTGTTGTCTTTCTTCTTCTGGCTTATTGCAAGATCTCCACAACCAGTATACATTACTATGTTCCTTTAAGATACTATCTGACCTCATTGTATGTAAGGAAAAAGTAAATCAAAGGTTGGTTTGAACCTAATTAAAGGCTTTGCCTTCCATGGCAAAAACCTGCCTCTGAATCGAAAGAATCTTTTAGGAGGAATTTCCTGATTGAACTCAATTTACTTTTTTAAGTTCATTTCCGTTTCTTCATATAATTCCAATATATTCCTTCCAATAGGACTCGAGAGAGGAGATTAAAAACAAGTGCAGCGTTACTAAATGACAACCAGCAATAAAATAGCGCAGTGTGAATGTTTATGATCAAAATGGTAGATTTATGTCCGCTGCAGTACCTTCCCCTTTTCTGAATAATGCATAGTTTATGTGGTGTTTCTATTTTGCATTTTATAGTGGTACCTTGGTACTCCTCATTAATTGGTTCCAGGAGGTATGATGAGTAGACAGATTTTTCCCTTAAGGAATAATATAGTGAGTGAGTCAACAGCAGCCAACACTGACACGTTCTAGCTTGTATGTTGAGTATCAAACACACAATGAGTACTGGGGCAAAATTTTTGCGTCAAAATGTGTTGAGCACCAAATTCAGTGGATTTCGATGTAGTTGAGTATGATAGCAAGGTACCACTGAGCATTCCTCAGCTTACAATAGTTCATTCGAAGTAACAACGGTACTGAAGAAAGTTACTTATGACCATTTTCACACTTTCAACCATTGCAGCATCCCCAGGGTCACATGATCAAAATTTGGATGCTTAGCAACCGGTTCACATCTATGACCATTGCAATGTCCTGGAGCCATGTCATTATGTTTTGCAACGTTCTGATAAGCCAATAGGAAAGCCAGATTCATTTAACAACCAAGTTACTAATTTAACAGCTGCAGTGATTCAGTTAACAACTGTGGGCAAGAAAGGTCGTAAAATGGGGCAAAATTCACTTGACAAATGTCTCACTTAGCAACAGAAATTTTGGTCGTAATTGTGGTTGTAAGTCAAGGACTACCTGCATTTGATTTTACACTATTTTACTCTGTTTTACAAATAGTCTTTGTTTTGATGACTCGGACAATAAGTGAAATGCTTGCTAAGTAAAAAAGTAAGAGAGAGGCTGCGAACATCACTGGCTGCTGCCGTTTTCTTCAAATAAAGTTCTCTCAGACAGTGTCATATGCCTGACCCTTTTTTCTCCTTTTTTTTTGCCCTTGGACAGGTCAGAAGGATTACTTAAACAACCTATCTCTTCCTGAGCTGCTTATTTCTGCACAACTAAAGTTCACAAACTCACCTGTGTGAACTAACGTAGCTGATTAGAACTGTAACTGCTGGTAACTTCTGCCTGAAACTGACCAGACTCTAATCAGTTTCATGCTGGCATTGCGGTCAGCCTAGGCATTGGGCGGAAAATGAATCTTTTATTACCATTTATTACTGTCCCATTTGCAAACGGCCACTATCTGTGGCAGTTGCTAAACGAGGAATACCAGTATTGTAAGCTGCCCAGAGATCAGTTGAGCTGTGATTGGCTAAAACATTTTAATAAGTAAATAAATTGGGCTTGGGGACAGAGGAGTTGTAACTTGCTCTGTTGTTGAAGACATGACACGTGATGTTGCTCTTTATGCCTTCATTAATTCCTCTGTATGTTTTTCTTTTCCCTTCCTTCTTTTGATAGTTTGATCTGGATATTGAACCCAAGATCTTCCACAAGGCAACTCGGCTGAGTAACGCCCATGCTTTGTCCCCCAACGAAAGCCAAGAATTCTCCTTCGGCAGTGAGCCAACCTCTAAAGGTATGCAGCCTCTCAGCGAGACTGTGTCCGAATTTGAGATGCTAGCCAAAGCAGGTAAAGATACGTTGTTCTTCACTTCCCAACTTGTTCCGCCTGTACATCACCTTTTATTCCCCCCCCCGCCATTCTCTCCCTTTCATCGGTCACTGTTTTTTTTTTCCTTTTGGCATGCATTTTCCCATCCATCCACCACTCACTCTATGCTTCCCTCCCCCCCAAAGATTTTAACTTGATTTCTAAACTGGCATGTGGGCTAATGTCCTTGGGGAAGTAGTGGACTTGCCAGAGGAAACTCCTCGGCTTGTGACTGCCTGTTGGACCTACGTGATGCGGAACCTCTTCTGTTGCATTTGTTGATGGAGGGGCGTGTATGGAAGGCGGAACAGTATCGCAATAGAGAAAATGGCGTCACTTTGGATAGGAAAGCAACATTTGGGGGTCATTTGTGTCTGGGATCCATTTATTAGTATCCTGAGAGCACTCAATCTTACGAACATCGCCGCATCCCCATGGCCATAGGATCAAAATTCGGACACTTGGCAACTGACTCATATTTATGACTGTTGCAGTGTCCTGGGGTCATGGGATCCTCTTTTGTGACCTTTTGACAAGTAAAGTCAATGGGGAAGCCAGTTCCACTTAACAACCATGTTACTAACTTAATACCTGCAATGATTCACTTAACAACTGTGACAAGAAAGGGCGGTAGAATGGGGCAAAACTCAATAAATGTCTCAGCAACAAACTCTGGGCTTAATTGTGGTCGCAAGTCAAGGACTGCCTGTATACAGGTGGTTGAAAGGGGCTATTACTTCCCAATATAGGCTTGGGAGAGTCTCAAATGCTGCTGGGTGACGGAGTGGAAGGGCTTTGTAGCCTGATCCAGCAGGACTATTCTTATATTCTTATACTCGTGTTTCACTCTTTTTGTTAAGATTAGTCACCCCTGAAATCAGAAGTTTACATTCTTACCTGGTCTGAAAAGTTCTGGCTCCTTGTTTCTGAAACTTACCTGAAATTCGTGCAAATCCCAGTTTGCGTTCATACTTAGTAAGGGCACCAAAAAGTCAGAAACTTGGTTAGTTTTGCCTTGACTTTCCCACCATTGGATGTCCCAAAATGCCTGGACTACAGCTTTCAGCAGATTTGCCATGCTGGAGTAAGCTATTCAGAGATCTTGTCCAGTATATCTATGGGGTGAGGACTTGAGACCGGCCAATAATAACCTGAGCCTTCAGAAGGAGCCCAATACTGCAAAATTAGCTTATGTACACAGTTTATAGTAAACCAGGATTTTTCAAAACCCCAATTGATTACTTATTTACTATATTTATACCCCACTGTCCTGTTCAGAAAAAAAAAAACCATTGAAGTGGGCTTACTTTTTCAAATGTGCACACCAAAGCACAGAAATCAATCAATAAAACACAAAGAGTAAAGGGTTTTTTTTAAAAAAAAATGCTGCTTGTCCATGCAATCATTTTGACATCACAATGCCTGCTCTGATTTTTATTTTTCATTTGAATTCATTTGAATATTTCATTTGGATATTTCTAAACTGCGTCTTTATTTCTTCTGTCCTCGCCTTCTAAAACGCTTCTTTGTGACTGGATTTGCAGTGTGGCCGCAGGAAGAATACATTGTGGAATATTCCTTTGAGTACGGATTCCTCCGATTATCCCAAAGCACCCGTCAACGTCTGAGCATTCCCGTCATGGTGGTGACTCTGGGTAAATGTCTATTTTACCATTCCATTCTTAACCATTGCTAAGCCTCCAGAAGTTGTGGGTGCTCCAATCCTGGTGGTTTTTAAGAAGAGATTTGTCTGAAGTGGTATAGGGCAGTGTTTGCTTGAGGATGGGTGGACTTCAACTCTCAGAAGTTGAAGGCTGGGGAATTCTGGGAGTTGGAAATCCACCCATCTTCAAGTTGCCAAGTTTGAGAAACATTGATAGGGTTTTCTGCCTGAGTAGGAGATTGGAGTAGAAGACTTCCAAGGTTCCTTCCAATTCTGTTATTCTATTAAGAACTCATAAGTTTGGAAACTAAGATAGAAGAGTTATTAAACTAATAATCAGACTGCCACAGTATAATATTCTGTTTCGGGTTTTCTTTGGATGTTGCTGTAGATCAGGGGTGTCAAACTCAAGGCCAGGGGCCGAATCTGGCCCGCAGGGTGCTTAGATCTGGCCTGCAGGACCACCCTGGGGACAGAGAAGGACCGACCTGTGGCGCCTCTGCCAGTTAAAACAGAGCCCCAAGGACAGTGGTGGCTAACCTTTTTGGGCTCCTGGGCCAAAAATTGTGCGCGTGCTTGCACGCTCGTGCTCATGTGCCAGCACCCAAAAGGCAATGTGCGCCCCCCTATGCATGTGTGCACAATACCACCCACCCATCCCCTGTTGCCCCCTTACTTGCACTGCGCCTCACAGCTGATTTTCGGCCAGTTTGAGGCCTTTTTCAGCCTCCCAGAGGCTTGAGGAAGGCTTCTGCAAGCTTTGCAGGCCGAAAACTAGCCCCATTTCGTCACTTCTGGTATTTTCAGGAAAACAGGAAGTGATGAAACGGGGCTAGTTTTCGGCCAGCAAAGCCTGCAGAAGCCTTCCTCAAGCCTCTGGGAGGCCAAAAAGGGCCTCAAACCGGCCAAAAATCAGCTGTGAGGTGCGCACATGTGCAGTAAGTTTGCCTGAAGCTCACATGCCAGCACAAATGACTCTGCATGCCATCTGTGACACGCGTGCTCTAGGTTCGCCATCACGGCCCTAGGGCCCTCCCGAGCTCCATTTTCTCTGGCAGAGGGTTGCAGGAGGCCATTGCAGCTGAAAATGGAGGTCAGGAGTCCATTTTCTCTGGCAGAGTGCTCTGGCCACCACAGGCACCCCAAAACAAGTGACGTTGAATTGGCCACGCCTACCCTGACACCCCTCCCACCCGAGGTCAAACACAACCCTGATCCGGCCCTCAATGAAATTAAATGTGACACCGCTGCTGTAGATATTTATATGTGCTGCCAGCAAACATTCAGTGCAAGTAAAAATAAATGAAAATGAAATGTCTCAGGAACAGGAAATTCATTTTAAAACAGAAAGGGTAGCGGGGCTCTGCAGGAGTGACAGTGGAAGACATTGGATCCCCTAGCCTTAAGAATTTCGTCTGTATTTTAAAATGAATGCTATTTTAGTGTAACTGGCTTACTAATTTAATGAATGCCCCTTGACTATCTGGGAACACAGCATTTGCAAGTGATCATTTGTTGCATTTCTCTTTTTTTTGAAAATTTTATTTGGGTTTTCACAAAAGCATAATACAAATAAAACACCTTTTTTTGAAAATAGCATGGTCCCGGGTTATCACTTCTTCATAAAGACACAAACTCAATTTCATGCTCATTTTTGTGTTCTATTCCATATGTTATTACTGTTTTACATTTTCTACATAGTTTTTCCCCTCTTTTAATTTTCTCAACTTTATTTTGATTATCTCATCTCAATTCAAATCATTATATTTATACTTTTGTCTGTCCTGTTTCAATTTCATATTATCTTTTCTCATTAAACAAATTTTCCCCTGTAGTTACTAATTGGAGTATGACATCTTTATATCTTTTAATTTTATCCATTCATCTCTTATTTAAGCTTCAATGTATACCTTTAAGATTATAACATTCAATATTATACATAACTTCCAATCGAACTCTGCTTGGTACATTCTTAAAATACACACTATATTCTTTGGGAACACTTATAAACTTTCCATAAATAATTCCCCCCCCCATATTTCTCTTCCCTTATATTTTATAAATCATTAATAATAATTAAAATGTTCCCATCCTTTCCTAATTTAATTCTCTCATTCACTTTATTTCATTTATTTATTAACAAACAATCCACTAGATTGCGATTAATACTTTTTCCATCATTTTAATCATATTTTCTAAAATTGTTTCTATTTGTAATATAACAATACTATCTTATGTACCTTTGCAGAACCCCTTTTACAATTAAGTTTTCACCCATTATCCCTAAACAGGTTCGTTCGTTGCATTTCATGGCTCCCAAACTTATAGAGAAATTGTGAATTTCCATACAACTGTCTCCATACAGCTAAAACAGCTCATGGATATTTGATCTCCTAAGAGGAAGCCCAAATTAAAAATAGAAAATGGGAATCCTGATTCTGTGGCACATGAGGCCCACCAGGCTGCAGAATGGAGGAGGCCAACATTTTCTTCTTTAGCCACGGGGTTCCCCAACGTGGTACCCAGGAATGCCCCTCCCCAACATAACACCTGCGGTACCCATCAGTCTCCTTATCCTCGCCAATATTTTATCAAAATGTTCTTTTTCCTTAAAAAAACAGAAAACTGACGTACTACTAAACACAGCACCAGCCTCCAGCATCATATTTGGAATATCTCTAGGCTCCAAGCGATTCCATAAATGTCCTTAACAAAAAAGAAATATGCTTTATTTTGTTTTGAAGTGTCTCCCCAATTATCCGCCTGGGATCCACAACTTTTAAAGTTCTCAGCAGGCCCACCAGAAACATTTGAGGCAATGGTTAGTTAGTTAGCTAGTTAGCTAGTTAGTTGATTAGTTAATCCTTGTGGTTAAATAGCAAAGGCAGAATTTGCTGCAGGCTTTTAGTCATAAGAGTTTTCCCAAGGAAAGAAGAGATGAAAATCATTTCCAGTTAGTATGAATATCAGTCTTTCTAGGACCCAGGGAAGAGTCAATCATCAGAATTGATTTTATTTCCTATGTGCTCAAAATCTTATCCAGTTCCTTTCAAAACTGATTTTCCTGACATTCAGTTTCCATTTTGGATAAGTCTGACCATTGTTACCTTGTTCAGACTTAACTCTTTGAATCCAAACCCTTTTCTCTTAAGACCAAGACTCATTCATGTTTTCCTTCACTATGATTTATTTAATAATACAGTAAAGATTACAGTATTTTAAACCTGTATTTTTAGTGGCAGTGTCTGCCTTGAAAAAGTTAAGTAACACATTTCAGATAATTTAAGCCTGCAAATTGGCCCCTCCTTCCTGAAAAGTGGAGGCTTCTTCCTTCTAGCAATTTTCTCCCAGTTTTGGGAATTGTAGCCTACACATTGGAAAAAGCTCCTGTGGTTGAGAAACACTTGTGTTAAGACTTTTGTGTGAAATTCTGCCTTGTGGGTCTTTTCTGCTGTAATTTAACTTTGTCCGCCTTCACTCTTCTTACAGATCCCACCCGGGACCAGTGCTTTGGAGACAGGTTCAGCCGCCTCTTATTGGATGAATTCTTAGGATACGATGACATTCTCATGTCCAGTGTGAAAGCCTTGGCTGAAAATGAGGAGAATAAAGGTTCGGAAAAAGGGCACGTGGGTTGAAGCATGAGTACAAACCTCTGCGTCATGCTATATTGTTCGGATTGTTGTGGTCTCTTGGCTGCTACACGTGTTGCCATGTTTTGCATTATATTTTGTATTGTTTTCCCTTATTATAAGCCACCCTGAATCACTCAGTAGAGACAGGCAGGTCTAGAAATTGAAAGTCATCTCCCAGAAAACAGAAGCGGGCAAATGTTTGACATTCGGCTGTTTGAAGTGAGAGATGGTCTTGATACAGTTACAGGTAGACCTTGACTTACAACCACTTGTTTAATGACAAGAGCACTGAAAAAAAAAGACTTAGAGGTTCTTACACTTACGACCATCATAACATCCCCATGGTCATGTGATCAAAATTCAGGTGCTTGGCAGTTGGCATCTATTTATGATGGTTGTAGCATCCCTAGGTCATATGATCATCATTTTTGAGACCTTCCCAAACAGCTTCCAGCAAGCAAACTCAGTTGGGAAAACCAGATTCACTTAACTATCCTGGGATTCCCGTAACAATCCCGCTGTGATTTGTTTAACAACCATGTCAAAAATTGCAAAATCAGGTGCGACTCCCTTAACTTAATGTCCCAATTGTGATCAAAAGGACTACTCCTTTATCCCTGGGATGGCTGTGTATTTGTGGAACAATATCCCACTACTTTAATTTGCACAGTCTGCGGCTGAGCCATTTTTTTTTCTTTACGACAAATGTCACAGAATTGGAAGGAATCATTGAGTCCGACTAACTCCCTGCTCTGTACAGGAATCTCAATTAAAGCTGTGATAATAGGTAGCTGGCCAGCACTTGCTTAAGGGGTATGAGTGTGATTATCTTCTTCCTATTTATAATATACTCATTGTTTGATGAAAGCCTTAGCTTTGCTTTCTGGAATGCAGTTCTTCTTGCCTTGGATAGGGAGTTGTGCTTGTTAAATAATCTTGATTAGATTATATACTCTCTTGGAGAAGGGATTGTTTTGAAGATTGTCCAGACCCTTCCAGACAGAGGGGCAAGGTTTCAAATTGGTTGGAGACTGGCTGTTTGGAAAATTATACAGATGCTGTGTAGTGTGAGCTGCTTTGATTGCCAGCCTGTTTCTAAAACATAACAGAAGAAACTTTGGATGCTTGTTTTAAAGTCTTGAAAGACTGCCCCTTTAATATAACTCTTTGGTGATTTTTAGAAGACCACCTGACTCCCCACCCCACCCCAATGAAATGATGGCTGTGGGGCTTCAGTAATGGAATAACATCTTTACACCTCATTTTTAAAATTCCTAATCACTATGGCTGAAAAAGAAAATGGAAATCTCAGGAGCCGAAATAGGCACATTTGAAAAATCTCAGGGGTAGAACAAGCTTCGTTACTTCTCTTTGTAGTTGGTAAACCAAATGTGGATGCACATTTAGCAAAATTATATAGAATAATTATATATAATATATAAAACCCCAAGAGGTTTCCGCCTGGCACTTTCTTCAGGCTGTCAAAAAAACGTTGAGTGTCCTTTTGGGAGAGTGATTGGTGGTTGACTGATTGAAGTACAGGTAGCCCTCAACTTACTACCACAATTGAGCCCAAAACTTCTGTTGCTGAGTGAAACATTTGTTAAGTGAATTTTGCCCTATTTTGCTACTTTTCTTGCCTCAGTTGTTCTATGAATCTATCAGCATTCCAAGTAATGCACCCATTGAAAGCAGAACTCCGAAGCAAGTAGATTCCTCAAATAACATTGGATACATCATATTGGCACAAAGTTAGCGTGCTTTTTACCTGATTAAAAATGTAAGTTTTCCACGTCCCCCAAGTCTCAGTCACATGGTCCAATAGAAGTGCTGGCCAGTTGCTTGGTTACTTTGCTCCTCCTCTCTCAGCTGCCTGTCGGACTGACCTTGGTTCCCACAGGAAAAAACTTCTGTTTTGACTGCAAAATCCTAGTTAATGATTTATCTCCCCCTCCCACCTAGTGGCAAACTCTGAAACCTCAAAAATGGCCCCAGCCAGGTTCGCTTCAGGATTGACATTAACATCAATTGGAATAGAGCTGGAAGGGTCTTCTAATCCAGCTCCCTGCTCAAGCAGGAGAACTAAACCATTTCAGACAAGTGACCGTCCAATCTGCTTAAAAACCTCCAGTGATGGAGCACCCACAACTTCTAGAGGCAAGCGGTTCCACTGGTTAATTGTCCTCACTTTTAGGAAGTTTCTCCTTAGTTCCAGGTTGCTTCTCTCCTTGGTTAGTTTCCATCCATTGTTTCTTGCCTTGTCTTCTGGTGCTTCGGAAAATAGATTTAACCCCTCTTCTTTGGAGGGTTAAAAAAGTGTAGGTGGCAGTCATAACCTTGCATGAAAACCAGACATGGATGCATATAAAAGAAGGGATAAGGCTGGTTTTTTTTACATCCCTCTCTATGCGGATAAATTGGTAGAGGATTTTATATTGGATTTTATGTTATGATTAAAGATAGTCCTCAATTAATGACGTTAAGTCAGCCCACAATTTTGCTTGTAAGTTCTGATGAGAATAGCATAGCATAGCATAGCATAGCATAGCATAGCATAGCATAGAATAGAATAGAATAGAATAGAATAGGGAATAAGGAATAAGGAATAAGGATAGAAATAGAATAGAATAGAATAGAATAGAATAGAATAGAATAGAATAGAATAGAATAGAATAGAATTCTTTATTGGTCAATTGTGATTGGACACAGATGGAATTTGTCTTTGGTGCAAATGCTCTCAGTGTACATAAAAGAAAAGATACATTTGTCAAGAGTCAAGAATCATAAGGTACAACACTTAATGATAGTCATAATAAGCAATAAATCATACTAGGAAACAGTCCATATAATCAAATCATACTCGGAAACAGTCTGTCATGCCCCTGGTGGAGTTGGACTCTGAGGGAGAGGAGGAACAGCCGACGGAGTGGAAGTGTGGCTCCGGAGGTTGTGGAGGAGGCTGGAGAAGGGCAGAGGCCGGCTGGGCAGTCAGAGGAGGACCCAGGCCCATCCCCTCTCCATCCTAGGGCACGCAGGGAGGAGAGGATAAGGGAGAGACATGGTCTACTGGGGAGGAGAGGGCCTTGATCCTCTTCATGGGCTGCAGCTGTGACAACTGGATAAGAGGATGGACACGCATGAGGGCGAACGCTGGAAACAAAGCGTGGAAATATCTCTAGTTTGTGGTTCCTCTCTGAGTTTGGCGTCCTTCCCAGTGTGTGTTATCTGTGGACGTCCTCCAGGCCTTATCTTGCCTGGTTTGTGTTGCTTTTTTCCTTAACTGTTTGTGTGGGAGTGTTTTTGTTTTCCGTCCAAGATATTCAGAGCTTGGAAGCAAACTGAAGGAATAAAAGGGGCTTCACCTGTTTTCTGTGACTGAGTTTGTTTTGTATTCCACCCTGGGTCATCACACAGTCCATATAAATCATAATGATACAAGCAACAAAGTTATTGTCATACAGTCACAAGTGGGAGGGGATGGGCGATAAGGAGTGATGAGAAGATTAATAGTAATAGTAGTGCAGACTTTGTAAATAGTTGGACAGCATTGAGGGAGTTATTTGTTTAGCAGAGTGATGGTGTTTGGGGGAAAATTGTCCTTGTGTCTAGTTGTTCTGGTGTGCAGGGCTCTATAGCGTCGTTTTGAGGGAAGGAGTTGAAACGGTTTATGTCCGGGATGTGAGGGGTCTGTAGATATTTTCACAGCCCTCTTTTTGACTCGTGTAGTATACAGGTCCTCGAATGAAGGCAGGTGGGTAGCAGTTGCTTTTTCCGCAGTGAGTTCTCATGTGACATGACCGATTTTATGATCTTTTTGTGGCCGTTGTTAAAACACAGCGGTTATAAATCTAAGCGCCTAGTCCTAAGTCGAAGACTCCCTGTATTGTAAAGTGCCCAGGATCTTGGGAAGCTTTGTAGGCGTCATATACACAAACGAGAATAAAACTCCTCTAAAACAGCGCAGCAAACGCTTTGCATTCAGGCGAGGCTTTATCACATGGAATTATCCCAGGCTGTGTGGAGACTTTCTTAAGAGAGCCAGTGTACCAAATACTTAGGAAACCCTGTTGAATGAATGAATGAATTCCTCCTCACGTTGTTATCTTTCCTCCCTCTCTTCCCCCCCACTCCCCCCCATCTTTTGTTTACTGGTCTGACAGGTTTCCTTCGCAATGTGGTGTCTGGGGAACACTATCGTTTCATCAGCATGTGGATGGCTAGGACGTCCTACGTTGCAGCCTTCGTCATCATGGTGATCTTCGTGAGTATTTCTCTCCTCTTACCTTTTTTTTTTTCTTCCTCAGCCTGAATCGGCCGTTGTTGCTTCCCAGAATTTTCAAGCCGTTGTGGGAGACACCCAAAGCCTGGTTTGTGTTTCATGGGCCGCAATCCTGCCACAGCATAGCTCAAGGCAGCTTTGCCAGGGATGCAGAAGGGTTCCCTGTTCAACGGCCTTCAATACAGGCAGTCCTCGGTTTACGACAATTCATTTAGTGACCATTCGAAGTTGCAACATCACTAAAAGAGAAAGGTTTACTGTTTTTCACACTTCACGGTCATTACAGCACCCCTGGTCACGTAATCAAAATTCAGATGGTTGGCCATGGCGATTCCTATTTTTATGATGGTTGTGGCGTCCTGAGGTCACAAGATCAACTTTTGAGACCTGACCAGGAATGTCAACGGGGAATCCGGATTCACTTAACCAACCGGGTTACTAACTTAACAAGTGCAGTGATTCACTGAACAACGGTGGCAAGGAAGGTCGTAAAAGGGGGTAAAACTCACTTAAGAACAGAAATTTGTGGCCGTATTGTGATTGTTTTGTAGCCTCTGGATCTTATCAGCAACTGAACCAGCAAGGAGAGGAATCCAAGATAAAATGTTACGCAGATGGCTCGTGCTTACAGTTAACCCAACCGCAACACTGTACATGACAGATGATAAAAGTAATCAAAGGTTTTGGCTGCCTTTCTGCGCGCAAAATTAACAAGAAGGAAACAAAGGCGTTTTAATTTCTAAAGAACAACATTATGTGAAAGAAGAGAATGATTGTAACAAAACTACCCCCAGTGAAATGTTTAGGGCTTTATCGGATGCGATATAATGAAGGCAGTTTCCAAAGTGTTTATTAAAAAATATGGAAAGAAATAAAACATGACCTTGAAAGGTGCAAGAAATGAAGATTTTCCTGGCTAGGACTTACTGCAATAATACTGTAAAAATGAACATATTACCTGAGATAATTAAATTAATGCATGAGTTAAAATCCTAGATCAGATATGTGAGAGGACTGGTTCCCTGCAAAATGGCTAGCACCTGTGGGCTGGTGGTACCCTGTCCCTTTAAAACCTCTTTCCTAGCCAGACCTGCAACCTGTGTCTATAAAAGCTGAGCAGAGAGACAGTTGGATGTGATGGTCTTGGTGGGGAGGAAGATGGTTTGTTTTAGTTTGAGAAATTGAAGTAGCCTAAGACAAGTTTACTGTTACCGTTCTCCAGAAATGAGAGTCACAAAGAGATGTAGTAGTGGAAGAACATCAGTTGTAGAACAATTTGCAAGACTAACACTTTTTCTGAGGATAATAGCCCATCTCTGTCAACACTTTAAGCACAAAACTTTGGAATGGTTAAATGAATTGTGTTTTTCATTTTAATTCTGGGCACATTAATTTTCATTCCAGAGAGTGCTTTTCAACTATCAGAATCTATGAGAAGGCTTTCCTGCTTTTCATGGTTGGCCTTGGGGCTTTCAGGATTTAATGTTTACCAACTTGTCTCTTTTCAGACTCTCTCTGTTTCCATGCTGTTGCGTTACTCACATCACCAAATCTTCGTTTTTATCGGTAAGTTTTAAAAATCCTTGCCCTGAGTTTCTGCAATGCCTGCTGTCCCGGTGGGCTTGGAATGAGCATGAGGGTGAGTTGTGAGCCGTGAGGGTACAGTGGTTAAAATGCAGAATTGCAGGCTGACACTGCTCACTGCCAGGAGTTTGATCCTGACTGGGCTCAAGGTCGAATCAGCCTTCCCTCCTTCCCTACTCAGCACCGACCACCCAAGGAGGACCCAGATTGTTGGGGGCAATATGCCAACTCTGTAAACTGCTCAGAGAGGGTTGCAAAGCTCCACAAAGCAGTATATCAGTCTAAATTTTATTGCTGTTGCTATGATGAGAGTACTGAGAAGCCGCAAATTATGGGAGCGGGTTCAGTGTTTTGACCGTAGTTTTTAATATAAGGAGGAACTTATTTCAATTTATTCCATGCCGTTAATGTGATTATTCTGAGCACAGGAGTAATAGTGTTAGGTACAGTGGGTACATTTAATTTTAATTCAGTGTAAATGAAAAACCGTTCCATTTGCTATTCAGCGTGCCAGGCAAAGATTGAGAACAGCTATCAACCTTGAAAACCTGCACATTCTTGGTTTAAACGCTGCTATGGTCCATTTGAATCCTAATCCATGTTAAATAACGACTCCCCGGTATGGTGCTTGCCGTGATTTATTTTAATGTGCAGTCTTGAACAGCGCAGCCAAGAAATATTTGGTTGTTTGTTCACCCTTTAATGAATCATCATTTTGGCATCCTGATATTAGATAGCAGCTGGCTGGAACTTTCTCTAGTGATGGAAATTTAATTTTCTAGCAGGGAGTAAGGTTGCATTAGCAGCTTTAGGAAGACTGTAGCTGATGTTTATAAGCAGACCTTTACAGCAATAGCAGTAGCACTTAAGACTTATATGCTGCTTTATAGTGCTTTACAGACCTCTTTAAGTGGTTTTACAGAGTCAGTCTATGGCCCCCAACAATCTGTGTCCTCATTTTACCCACCTCGGAAGGATGGAAGGCTGAGTCGACCTTGAACCTGGTGGGATTTGAACTGCCAAATTGCAGGCAGCCGATAGTCAGCAGAAGTGGCCTGCAGTACAGCACTCTTAACCACTGCGCCACCGAGGCTCTTATGCAGATAGTCCTTGACTGATGACCACAATCGGAGTCAGAATTTCCACTGCCAAGCAGTGGAATTGTTATGTGATTCGTGCCTGATTTTATGACCATTTTTTAAAACCGCAGTTTTAAGCAAATCACTGCAGTTCTTAAGTGGATTGTGCAGTTGTTAAGTGACAATCCCATCTTCTCCCATTGCTTGTTGGGAGCCATCTGGGAAGGTCACAAATGACAGTGCACATGACCCTGGGATGCTGCAGCTGTTGTAAAATGGAAGGCATTTGCCAAGTGCCTGAATTTTGATTGTATGATTGTAGGAATGCTGCAATGATTGTAATTGTGATTGTAGGTCACTTTTTTTCCCCCGGTGCTGTTGTAACTTCCATCACTCAACAAAAGGTTTTAAGTCAAGGGCAGTTTGTCAAGTAGGACCGTGTTTCTCAACCGTGGCAACTTGAAGATGCACGGACTTCAACTCCCAGCATTCCCCAGGCCAGCTTATCTGACTATTTGGGGAATTCGGGCTGTGTGGGGTACGCTGAGAATTGAAGTCCGCAATCTTGAAGTTGCCACGGTTGAGAAACCCTGAAGCAGGAGAGATGCTAAAATTGAGATTTTTTTTTTGCCCCCTTGTCAGTTCTGAGCAATGGCTTCTTAATCAGAAATCGGAGGTTGCTTTCCAAGACCTTGAAGTATGTATAGGTTGTCCTCAACTTGCAAAAGTTCATTTAGTAACCATTCGAAGTTACGATAGCATTCTGGACTTCTGGTTGAGAACATCCGATGGGATAGCGATTAAAAAAAAGATTTTAGATTGCACGGAGATGGATAGGCTTACTGTAGAATTAAAAGGTAGAGGTGATTCGGAATATTATTTGGTTTGGGACGCATGGTACAACTGGCTAGAAAATAGAAGTCAAGATTAGTAATGTAATTATCATGTCTATACAAGTACTTTCAATGCTGTAGCGCTGTTACAAATGTTGAAAAATGTTCAATAAAAATATATTTTTAAAAAAACGAAGTAACAATAGCTCTGAAAAAAAAGATCTGTGGAGATTCTCGGTCATCCAGGTCATGGTGGCAACTGGGCTTGTCTTGTTTTTTTTTTCCTTTGAGGACATTTCACTTCTCAACCAAGAAGCTTCTTCCACCACCCCCACCGTCCAGTCAGAGCTGAAGAAGCTTCTTGGATGAAAAGTGAAACGCCTTCAAAGAAAAAAAAGCAAGACAAGCCCAGTTGCCTCCTGAAAAAGCGCCTTTGGGGCACTGAACAAAAAAAAGAGACTTCTGACTGTTTTTCACACTTACAATCGTTGCAGCGTCCTCACAGTCACGTGATCAGAATTCAGCCGCTTGGCAACTGACTCATTTATGACGGTCCCGGTGTCCCGCGATCCCCTTTTGTGACCTTCTGACAAGCAAAGTCAATGCGGAAGCCAGATTCCCTTAACAGTTGTATTCCTAACTTAGCAACTGCAGCGATCCACTTAATCTCACTTCTTGTGGCAAGAAAATTTGTAAAAATGGGGCAAAATTCACTTGAACAAACATATCACTTAGCAACAGAAACGTTGGGCTGAATTGTGGTCCTAAGTCAAGGACTGCCTTGCATTCTGGAATATACATTGGCTTTGACCTGTATGGCCTCTACCCTACCACTGAATGGCCGGTTGTTCTTGTTGTGTGAAACTGCCTTGTACTTTGGAATAGGGCTGTGCCCCAATATCTCCTTACTCTGCCGAGCAGCGTTTCTCTAAATTCTTTTACCTGGGATCCCATTTGACTTCTAGCTGTAGGCTATGTTCCTGGGTCACCCCATAGGCCAGGGGTTTGCAACCTTAAACACCCAAAGAGCCATTTGGACCCGCTTCCCACAGAAAAGAAAACACTGGGAGCCAATAATTTAACAGCCGGTGTGACTGGGTGGGCATGGCCACCTTGACGTAACTCACTCCCACCCAGTCACTTCCTGCTCTGGAATATGGAGAGTCTCTCCATCCCCCGCCATCCGCCATCACCCTTACCTTCTCAGGCCAGGCGAGGAATGATGGGGAGGGGAGGGACCAGCCAGTGGTAGGACCAGCTGATAGGGAGCCGCAGCAGAGGGCTGAAAGAGCCGCATGTGGCTCCAGAGCCGCAGGTTGCAGACCCCTTCCATAGGCCAAGAAAAATGAATTTACCTCTTGTCTGACTGCTGTCTTCTGAATTTGGCCTCCTTTCCCTTTTAACAGTGGACCTGTTACAGATGCTGGAAATGAACATGACAATCGCCTTCCCCGCAGCTCCTTTGCTGACCGTCATCTTGGCTTTAGTAGGTAAGGAGACCACCTACGCTTTTAACCTCCAGAAAGAATCTGCAATGGTGGAGAAAGGGGCAGGAAGCCCCTATTAATTGGAAAGAACTCAACCCTTTTCCAGTCAAGACTTTCCTTGGTTCTGCTTGTTTATTTGTTTAATATTTATTTGACACATTACTATAGTACAGTGTTTCTCAGCCTTGGGGATTTGAAGTTGTGTGGACTTCAACTCTCAGAATTCCCCAGCCAGAGTTGAAGTCTACACAAGTCTGGGAGTTCAAGTCCACACAACTTCAAATCGCCAAGGTTAAAAACAACAACTGTAAAATCCTCCTTTCCAACCTACTGAAGTATCCTTCAACTACCTGCCTGCCTTTTGTCAACTGTCTTAACCCATCGTATTGAAGAAATACCTTCTGAAGGACTGGAGGCATTTCTTTCTTAAAGATGAATGCAGAGCTTCCAGGGTTTTTTTGCAGTTATGCCGAGCACAGTCTGTGGATTTAAAGCCGGTCTCTGTATGGCAGAAGTTTCATGGGTGCAAGAAGGCATCGTATTTGGGCTGAGATTTATGGAGGGTGATAATCTCGCAGGCAGCATGTTGATGTTCTCTTCCTTGTCTTCCCTCTTGAAACAGGCATGGAGGCCATCATGTCCGAGTTCTTCAATGACACCACCACGGCCTTCTATATCATCCTCATTGTGTGGTTGGCGGACCAGTACGATGCAATTTGCTGCCATACCAACACAAGCAAGAGGCACTGGTTGAGGTACAGACCTGGGACGGGACTCAGTCAGAGACTGACCAGTGGCCTCCCTGGATCAGAGATAGCAACCTCTGGGAAGTAGGGCAGAGTGGGGGGTGGGTGGGCTTGTAAATATTTTTGGAGGTGTCACAATGGGCAGGATAGATAACTTATTGTACCTAGAGGCTTTTCTGAAATATTTTTTTTATCCCTTTACTATTTTTTAAATAGCTCAAGGCAACAAATACACATAATACTCCTTCCTTCTCCTATTTTCCCCATAATAACAATCTTACGAGGTGGGCTAGGTTGAGAGAAAGAGATTAAACCAAAATCACTCAGCCGACTTTAAGCCTAAAGCAGGGCTAGAACCCACAGTCTCCTGGTGATTGGCCAAAAGTGAACAGCCAGCTTTCATGCCTAAGGCAGGACTAGAACTCACCGTCTCCTGGTGATTGGCTAAAAGACACCCAGCCAGCTTTCATGCCTATGGCGGGACTAGAACTCATGGTTTTTAGCCTGGTTCCTTAACCACTAGACCAAACGGTCTTTTCAGGGTTTTTCAGGAAAGCAATTTAACGAGTCACAGAATGGCCCTTCTCAATTTAGATGTTCATCTAACTCCACCTTGTCTGATGGATTGTCTGTCTTTAGTGTCACAGGTGGGGCTCATTCCTCCCCACCCCCAGACTGGAGGCCATCTTTGTTGATACGGCCCTCCCAGGGCCAGTTTGACTCCTTAAATCTCTGCTACTCCAGCATCGTCTTCCTTCTCAGCAGCATCGCTGCCCTTTCCCTGCCCTGGTTATCCCCCCTCATTCATTATAGGACCGGGCTGTTTCTCTCTCTCTCTGTTCACTTTTACACTTCTCTGAAGCGAAGTCGGGGGGGTGGGGGAGGAATACAACCATTTGTGTTCAGAATGGTAGCAAACATGGGATTGTGTAATATATTGTATGTAAATGCGTCTGCCTGCATATTTACATTTCCGTCTCTCTCCAGGTTTTTCTACTTGTACCACTTTGCCTTCTATGCCTACCATTATCGCTTCAATGGGCAATATAGCAGTTTAGCCTTGGTGACTTCGTGGCTTTTCATACAGGTAAGCTTCTGGCTCTAAACAAGGCCGCACAGCATTGTGTGAACCCCTAAAGCAGGACAGATTTCAAAAGATAGAATCCGTTCTACAGTTTAGCCTCCGCTGAGAAAATGCAATTTCAGGCATGGTTTGCCAAATTTCTAGTCCTTTGGCTTTCAAGTACGTAAATAACAGACTTGAAATCTCAGAAATTATCCAGCTGTCATTTTGTCTTCCTGAATAGCTAGACTCTTGTAAAAGACAAAATCCGGGTTGTGGGACACAAAAAGGCAAGGCAAGTAGTTGACGGAGAATTTTCCGCGATGATTCTCCCGCATCTTAGCCAGAAAATTAGTGGTTTGCACTGGCTGTGCTGCTTTCATTTTGAGAATCATCGCAGGGCCGAGAGAATAGCTGGGCCGGGGCTGATTCAGGAAAGATGGTTAGGATTGCAGGCTCATGATCTTGCTTTGCTGACACGGATCCCACTCAGCCTTCACCAACTGCCTTCAATAAAGTTGGAGCAGAAACGGGCATAGTGGAATGTTTCGTGCAGGGTAGGGAATTTGGCCTTTCCTAACAGCATCTAAGTTACTTGGGTGGCAGGTAATGCCCAACTTCTGTGATCCCACCTTCACTTTCAGCACCCCAAGGTGGCATATGTAATGCTCCTGCCCGTTATTTCCCCACGAGAAAAGCCCTTTGAGATGGGCTGAGCTGAAAGAGAAGGGTCACCCAAAGCAATAGCAGTGGCACTTAGACTTATATGCCGCTTTGTAGTGCTTTGCAGCCCTCTCTAAGCGGTTGACAGAGTCAGCCTCCTGCCTCCAACGATCGGGGTCCTCCTTTTACCGACCTTGGAAGGATGGAAAGAGGGCTCAAGCTCGAGCCCCTGTTAGGATTGAACTCCTGGCTATGGGCAGAGTTTGCCTGCAATCCTGCCTTCTAACCACCACGGCTCCTAAGAAGGCACTTTAGTTGGCTTTGTTGCCTAAGGCAGGACTAGAACTCCTCCTCTCCCAGTTTCTAGCCCAGCACCTTAACCAGCACACCGGTTCTCTTTAAAGCTCGAGGAGGAGTGATTGGTTTATACATTTTGGGAGGTTGGGTGTGTGTGTGTGTGTGTGTGTAGAGGGGAGAACTTTCTTGCTCAGCCCAGGTATCAGAAACTTTTCTTCTCTCCGGCTCCTCTCTTCCCCTCCTTGGCAGCATTCCATGATCTACTTCTTCCACCATTACGAGTTGCCAGCCATCCTCCAGCAGATCCGCATCCAGGAGATGTTGCTCCAGAACCAGCAGGTGGGGACCCAGACCGCTCTCCAGGACAACCTCAACAACAACACAACCGTGGCGGCCACCAGTTCGGCCGACCAGCAGCCCCCCCTGGACGCCAGCACAGCCGGGGCAGGAGACGGCTCCCCAGTTTCTGGGGAAGGCCACGGCCCCCCGTCCTCCGGCGCTGGCGTCTCCCTCGGGAATGACTTGAATTGGGTGGCAGAGACAGCCGCTGTCATCACAGAAGCCTCCTTTCTCTCCAACCTGGGCAGTTCCTTTCTGGACTCGGGGGCCACTCCGGCCGTTGTGACTAGCGGAGGGACTTTGCAGGACCTGGAGCCCGCCTCGAACCCGGCGACCCAAAGTTTGGTTAGTAGTAGTGACCGCACGGAAGTGAGCTCCGTCACGATTGAGGGAATGCCCACCGTTGGGACCTCTGTGACCAATACACCTTCTCCCGCCACGGCCCAGTCAGAGCTGGAAGACGTTCCCCAGCCGCCAGAGAGTTCGGTAGGCCGAGCTGAGCCTCTGAAGACAGACTCCTCCCAAGGGTTGGCTTTAAGGGGACTCCTAAGTCAGGCCTCCGAAAGGCCTGCCGAGAGGGATCCCACGCCGCTCCCCCCAGAAAATAGGATCTCCTGATCCCACGAAGTCCCTGCTGCTTCTCCCGAACTCCTTCTGCCGCAGGAGACTGGGCGGCTTTCCGATGGCATCGATTCGTTTTCCACACCGAGTTCCTCTTTTAGAGAAGAAAGAGGCAGAGTTAGAACATAAGATGAAGGGAAAGGCCTCGTTTTCTCCTGTCTTCCAAGTACCAGGAAAGGAAATGGGGGCTGCGGGGGGAGGAGAAGCTGAATAAAAAGAAGGGGGAAGCGATTGTAGATGTCGGTCCCTGCGTCGGAATCAACTCTTTTTGAAAGAAGCGGCTTTCCGCATCTCTGGTCAGTGAATTGCGTTGAGCCCCAATTTCTCATCTCTGCCTCCACCCTCCGTTTCCCAGACTGCATGGAATCATGAGGACTCCTTCTGAGTATCTGCTGGAGATCCTAATTTGCATTTAGATCCTTGTCTGTTGGCATTCAGTTTCGTCTTGAAAGGGTGCTTTAGAAGCGGGGGAGTGGGGAGGAGGAGAAAAAAAAGAAAGAAAGAACGGGTATCATGACAAAAGTTGTTTTTGTGGATGCACCTTGGAATTGGGTGGGGGATTATAAAGACCAGGAACCCCTGGTGTTGGTGATTATAAAGAGAAATCGATCCTTAAGCAGAAGGTGCAGCATGGAAAGTTGGCATGAACTGGCTCCGGAATTATCGACGGGAATTGTTATTTGAAGGGTCTTAATACTTGAGTCCTAAAAAAATAATAATTGGACTACATCTGCTTATGTACAAACACCATGTTAATTTCTCTCTCTCTTTTTTTTTCCCTAAAGAGGGTTGTAGGGGATTATTTAAATAATACAACAGGCTTGAGGGGGCCGGGACACAGTGTCTTACCCCATTCCCCCACCCCAGTCCTTTGAACCCAGATCTTTTTCTTCAATAACTTGAGAGTCTAAGCGATTCTCTCCTTTAAGGTGGGCCTGCCCCAATGAAAAGTCTACAGCCTTCAGATCGGTGGTTCTTTGCCTTTTACCTTCTCTTAAGTTAGCCTCCAGGTGGGAGGAGCCCAGTGATGGGTTGAAAACAAATGTGCAGGAACTCTGAGATTGTGGGCCCTTTGCACTTGTGGGGAGGTGTGGCTGGATGAACAGAGCCGTTCAGAATTTGCTTCGGCTTACGACAGTTCTGAGTTGGTGCAAGTTAAACGCTTTCAAAGAATTGAAAGGCAAAGAATTGTTCTCTTTTTGAGTTGAAAGAGAGGAGCTAATAAAATAGCCACCGGGCAGGATGCATTAGAGCACGGTTTCTCAACCTTGGCCACTTTTTAAGACAGGTGGACTTCAACTCCCAGAATTCCCCAGCCAGGGGAATTCTAGGAATTGAAGTCCACCTGTCTTAAAAATTTGCCAAGGTTGAGAAAACATTGCCTGAAGAGCCAGAGGAATGGCTGAAAAGTAATATATATATATATATTTTTTTTGTCAATTCATCCAAAGAGTTCCCATCCGCTGCTGCTTATCCACTTAAATGCGGATGATTGCATTGTCTGGGTTGACCGGATTTCAGCCACCGCATCTTTCCAATGTGACGCCTTTGACTAGCTAATACTGAACTTCCTCCAAGGAGGAAGTTGCTTCCCCAGCATGACTGCTTACCGGGAGGGGGGTCACACTTCTTTCTTTCCAGAATGACGCTTCTCTTATCGACTGGGAGCAGCCCGTTTCCATAGTTGGCTTTGGAATGGGGTTCCCGAGTGCCTTCTGTAGACTCCCCAAATCTGGGAAGAGGGAGGAATGATTGGGGGGGGGGGGGGGGGGGAGGGAACTGCGGAGCCCCCCCCCCCCCCGAGTTTCTGACCCCCATCACTCCCCTCTATGACGTTCCGAGCAAGAATCAAATCTCTGGGACAGGCAACCTGGTGTTGGGCGCCACAAAGGAGAGAAGCTGATGGCAGATCAGTCCAGGGTGCAAGTGGTTTTGGTTTCCACTTGGTTTGGAGATGGAAAAACCAAAACCCAAATGGCAGGCAGGCCAGCGCTTCCCCTTCCCCCAGTGAGGGTGGCCCATTCTTGTGCAATAGATTAGTTGAGTTCTTGGCCGTGTGCCGATTCTCTACCCAGATCAGTGACCGAAGACGCTTGTAACTGGTCAGACTTCGGGCCTTTTTGCTTTTGAGCGGGTTTTTTGGTGGGGGGGGGGAGGGAGAGGGAGGCAGAACTGGATGGAAGAAAGAGACTCAAAACTAAATCACACGAATAGAGTTCATTCTGTTTAATGTACAAAATGTTTGTATGTATATATATATATATAGTATATATACTGTATAAATACCGTATTTAATCATTGCTTGCTCCTTCTCCTTTTGTTGGTTATACCCTTTGGGGGGACGTGGGGAGCGGGGGGTTACAAATGCCAGCACCATAGCAAAACGCACAGCAACCAGGAGAGATTCAGCTGCTCCTGGTAGGAAGGTCTCTTTTAGAGAGCTCTGTTTCCTTTACAATTCTTAAGATTTCACTTGTTCCAGCTACTGGATTTGCCCATCCCCACGTGAATGGCTTCTGCCTCCTGCTCAGCATGGCCATTCTCGGCCTCTCTCACTCTCCAGAGGTTGAGAATAAGGCTCAGGAAAAGAGGGCTTCAGCGGTTTACCGACAGATAATGCAAGAGAAACAGGACATTTCTCTCATGTTAATTTGCATTAGAGCAGATTTAATTTTTGTGCTGGCTTCACCCATGTCTTGGCCTGGCGCCGTCTGCCTTGGAGGCCTGGCCCAGCCTCGCCACTAAAAAGCCAAGTGAGACCCTCAGCTGGCGATATATTGCAAACTCCTGCTGGAGAAGCTCTTAATACGAACTAATCTCTCCAAAAAGGTGTCTATCTACTGATTGAGTTCATAAAATATTCTCTGAACTGGAGAATCCAGCTTAGTTTATTTTTCCATTCCCCGCCCCAGATATTGGTCTGTGAGGAATACAGGATCGTTTGGGGAAAATCCAAAGCAAAGTTTGAGTTTCCAGAATGCAAGAAAGTTTAAAAAAAACAAACATCATTTTTCTAAAGATGACAATGTTTTAATTCCTCTTTTGATTCTTAGTCCATTACCCATCTAATTTTGTTTTTAAAGTAAATAAAATTACGAGGACAGGATTTTTTGTTATAAAAATGGGGCAGTAGCTCAGTTCAGCATTCTTCCGGTTCCTGCCCCCCTCTAGATCTGTAGGACTACACTTCCCATCATTTCCGAACATTATGGGTTGATGGAGATGGGAACTAGACTGTTGATGGAGATGGAATACATCTTAAAGGGCGTCAAATTTTGGAAGGCTGTTCTGCATAGAAATGTTAAAAGACCTATTGCAATATCCACCAACTCACTTGAATTTGCACTGCCCAAAAATAAATACCAAAGGGGAACCCCAATGTGGCTGATGATGTAAACCTATAAAGACATATTTAAACTTTGGTTTCATACCTCAGGACCATCCCAGCTTTAATTTTCAGCAAATTCCTTTTGAAAAAAAATGGGGCTTCGGGATTGGTACTTGGCATTTAAATGTATTTTATTTGGTTTTAAATATATTTGTAAGATTTATAAAATGCCTCATGCTAGATCATCTGTGGGGAAATGTCATCTCTGAAAAGGCCCTATGTGGAAACTCTCAGGCACACCTGATGTATTTCTTTGGTTTCCAACCTGTTCATGCTTTATGAAAGAAAGAAAGAAAGAAAGAAAGAAAGAAAGAAAGAAAGAAAGAAAGAAAGAAAGAAAGAAAGAGAAAGAAGAGAAAGAAAGAAAGAAAGAAAGAAAGAGAAAAAGAAAGAAAGAAAAATACTTTAAAAGGTGATTGTTCTCCCTTGCCTCTCTTGGTGTTATGTATATGAAGTAGAGCTATGCAGAGCTGAATTCAAATTGCAAATGCTGTGTTTGCAGCACACACATCGCACCTGCTGGGAAGAATGAAAGTAGCTGCACTTTGCCTTGGACTGATGTGATTGCCTATTCCTGCTGCTGTGTAATTGTGAGAAAGAAGACATTTAGCATAAGGTGACCCTGATAAGGGCCTACACAAGGACGTGTGTGTGTGCGCGCGCGCGCTCTGAATTCAGATTTTGCCCTTTTAACTTGAAATCTGCCCAGCTGTAATACCAATCTGCCTTCTAAGGATGGCTGTGCATGCCAAGCTGGTTTAGTCTATCACAAGTTTGTTTCTCTTGCCCAGAATGAAATACTACTCCCATCCGGGTTCAAAAGGAAGAAAAGCTGATTTAAATAGGACAGTTTTTAGGAAAGGCAGAGTTGAGATGGATCTCTAGCTCAAAATAGGTAATCATTGACTTAATAACTGAGCCCAAATTTTCTGTTGCTAAACAAGACAGCTGTAAAGTGAGTGTTTTACGAATTTTATGAATCTTTTTGCCACACTTGTAAAGGGAATAACTGCAGTTGCTAGTAACACAATCGTTAAAATCTGGCTTCCCTGTTGACTTGATTATCAGAAAGTCGCAAGAGGTGATCACGTGACCCCAGGACATAAATATGAATCAGTTGCCACAAGCACCTGAATTTTGGCCACGTGACCACGGAGATGCTACAACGGTTGTAGGAGTGAAAAACGGTCACAAGTCACTTTTTTTCAATGCTGTTGTAACTTTGAAAGGTCATTAAATGAAGGACTACCTCTATTTTCTGCTGCCAGGGATATTTAAAGACAAAAGTCAGCTATCTTTCTCTTTTTGTAGTCAAAGGATGCAGGACTCAATACAATGCAACGTTTTTGGAGGGGCTGCAAATTTAGCTCTTTGCTCCAACTCCATGTGCTGGAGGTGGCAACTCCCATCATTTCTCCTTAGTTCTAGGCTGGGTTTCTCCTTGTTAAGCTTCCATCTGGTTCCAGGAAAGCTGCTCTGTCCAATCCAGAATTGGCTCAGGAGAGAGGAGGCCACCATGGAGCCCGTCTGCCTCGTCCTGAGTCCGATTGGCAGAAGTTTCTTTCGGCCTCACATCCTGCTCCACCCGCTAAGACAAAGGGGAAAGTGAAGTCCTGGAGCAATTCCTTTTGCCCACCCTCTCCAAGTTACAGAGACGAAATTTTGGTGTAAAATTATTGAACAATAAAATTAAAATTATGGAAGGAATGATAAATACACTCCATGAGCATATAAATTTTCTATTAGGCTTACCCAATATCAGACCTCTCCCCATTGCTTCTCTCTCCTCCCTCCCCCTCCCCTCCTTCCCCCCTCCTCCGTTCCCCTCCTTTCCTCCCTCCCTCTCCTTCCCCTTTCCTCCGTTCCCCTCCCCCTTCTCCCCTCCTTTCCTCCTCTCCTCCCTTCCCGTTCTCTCTTCTTCCCTCCTCCCCTCTCTTCCCTCCTTACCTTCTCTCCTCCCTTCCCTTCCCCTTCCCTCGTCCCTTCCCCTTTCCTTCCTTCCCTTCCCCTCGTCCCTTCCCCTTTCCTTCCTTCCCTTCCCCTCCCCTCCTTCCCTCCTCTCCTCCCTTCCTGTTCTCTCTTCCCTCCTCCCCTCTCTTCCCCACTTACCTTCTCTCCTCCCTTCCCCTCCCCTCCTCCCTTCCCCTTTCCTTCCTTCCCTTCCCCTCCCCTCCTTTCCTCTCCTTCCCTTCTCTCCTCCCTTCCCCTCCCCTCCTTTCTTCGCCTTCCCTCTTCTCCCTTCTCCTTTCCTCTCCTCCCCTCCCCTTTTCCTCCCCTCCTCCCTCCTCCTCCAGGAATCCTACTTCTGTCTACTTTGGTGATGCCATAATGCTACCTACTGCAATCTTTGGTTGTGCTGTCCCACGGGAGATCTCCCAGGGTCTCCCAACTGCTGGGACGTCGCTCCCTCCATGTAAACAGACCTCTTTCCAAGAACCGAGTCTCTCCCCTGCCTGTTCCATGTGGTCCTTCCTCAGCTTTGTGCTGTACCACTAAAGGATGACCCCCCCCTCCAGCTAACCTCAGAAAAGCACCTTATCAGCTGGAATGTTGCATCGTTTGGCTCAACGTTGCCTACCCTGTCTTCCAAAAGCTGCTCCAAGGTTAACACAAACTTCGTTTGAGGGTACCAGGAAGTGAATGCCTATCCCCCCGCCTTCCCCTCCAACTCCACTCAGCCGTGGCTGCACCTGAGACGTGGCTAACTGAGCTCAAGTCCCATAATTTGGGCTATGCGGCCTGGAGACCAGCTGGCTGTGGTGGGTCAACGAGCTTCAGGGTCCCCGGCAGAGAAGCTGCAATTAACGTTGCTTTACAATGATCTAAACCAGAGACAATCCGTTCTCCACCTGTACCTTCTCCCAGCCTTCTCTTAATTCAGCGGTTCCTGTCCTTTGAAGCTTCCTACAAATCGTGCCTGCCTGCTAAAGGTTCAAAAGACGAGCGAAAGCTCCGGAAGTGTGCTCCTAAGTCGCCCAAGAGATCTGTGCCAAAAATCAGCAACAGGACCCCACAGAACAGAAAAGTCAGGATCAACTTGCTGAATGTGAAGGTTAACTTAACAACGTTCGTGAATTAATCAATTCGGATTCTGAACGTCTCTAGCCCTGCCTGCTTGTCCTTCTCACCCTGGTGGCTTTTCCAATGGACATGGATGAAGTGGGACTTTCCACATGCAAATAAGGGTGACCAGCAGCAACCCACACGGGGCCCCTTGGATGAAAACTGATCTGGGGAAGGCAGGGAAAGCTAGAATAAAACACTCCCGACCAGAATCTACTCTTCTGTTGTTTTGCTCTTTGCGCTGGCATTCTTCACTAGGAACAGGAATCCAAGCAGAGTCCAGTTGGAGGCCCCTCCTCATTCCATCACCTGTCCTCATTGCTCTCCCTGATCAGTGCCTTCAGCGCAGGGGGCAGCCGAGGAGCTTTGGGGGGCGGTCCAAGGGCCACCATGAGCTCACTCTTCCGCACCAGGGCGACCCTCAGCTGCTCTCGCATATCACTGATTTTGCTCTCTAGCTCCTTCAGTTCCTTCTGCTTGGCTTCCTTGCTGTCCTGCTGGGGATCCTGGCCGTTCATG